CGGCTACAAATGTCTCCCATTCAAGATCCAAAGCAAACTAGCTCCAACTTGACTTCCGGATCAGGAGTCAAGGAAGTGCCATTAATAATTATTCAAGACCAAAATGGAAGTGGCTCTGGTTCAACCACAACTGGATCAGGAAGTAATGAGGAGATAACATATGAGTGCCCCAAAGATCCATGTGAAAAAAAGGTAAAGAAGAAAGGGGAAAGATGTGCTGACCATAAATATTGTGAACATGTAGGATGTAAGGAAGAAGTACTATTCACATTTAGGTACTGTAAGAGGTGTCAATCATGTTGCAGAGCAGACGGATGTTTCGGCACAAGGGAATGGAGAACAGCTTATTGTAAAAACCACTCGACCACAAAACTAGCGCTTTGCTCCATACAAAACTGTAGAAGAAAAACAGGGGATCACACATGGGAATTTTGTAACGACTGTTTAAAAGGGATGCGTGAGATAGGAGATATGGCAGGGTGTGACACATGCAAGACTTCAAATCCATCCTGTGAAGATTGTGGTAAGGTAAAAGTCATACAAGAATATAATGAGATAAGGAAAGAGGCTCTAAGGCAAAAAAATGTAACCTTTGACACCCAGAGTTCTAGCTCGACCATAGCAGGAGCAAGCACAACAGGTGGACCAAGACCTATCCTGAGAAACAACACAACTAATATAATTAGTAGCATAAGCCCCACATCAGGAATTAACTCTAGCTTCTTTGGTAATACAAGTTCAAACTCAAGTGGAACTAGTAGCTTATTTGGGACAAATCCAAACCCAACTCGAATTTTACCAATAAGAACTGGAGGGGGATTTGGAGGAGGCTGGAATAACCCACCACCAGTAAATAGTAATCCACCACCAGTCAATAATAATCCACCACCAGTCAATAATAACCCACCACCAGTCAATAATAATCCACCACCAGTCAATAATAATCCACCACCAGTCAATAATAATCTGCCACCACCACCGCCAAATAATAACAATCAAGGGAATAATAATAATAATAATAATAATAATAATAATAATCCGCCACCACCATCACCAAATAATAACAATCCAGGTGGAAATAATAATAATAACGGGAATAACAATCCTTACCTTGTGGATGCAAGTACGCTCCTTCAAATATTGAGAACACAACAACAACAACAGCAAAATCAAGGAGGAGGTCTAAGAGAACAAAGATTGGTGGAATTACCAGCATTTGATGGGGCCGGAGAAGACCCTTATCATTGGTGGAAATCTTTTAATGATGCCTGTAATGCAAATAATATTAGTTTGGAAAGAAGGCTACAAATAGTACCATCATTTTTGAAGGGACAAGCAAATGTCTGGTGGAAGATGGCAAGCCCATTTACCACTGTGTGGGAAGCGCCACGGAATGGATTAAATGAACATATTAGTTTCAAGAAACAATTTTTTGATTATTTTTGCACTCAATTCCATAGACAAAACTGGATGGAACAATTAAGAAGTAGAGAGCAAATGGCTCATGAAGATGTTGATGCTTATGCTGGAGCCTTAGCTGACTTATATCAGAAAGTAGATCCGTTAAATAGATATCCAGAAGAGGATAAAATGCAACAATTCTTGAAAGGATTACAACCTGCTATACGAATGATGACTGAATTAAATACCCCAAACAGTTGGAATGAAGCTTGGCAACAAGCAAAGAAAGTAGAAAATGCCTTGAAAAGAGGAAATATAGGAAACCCACTCCTACAGCCAGCAAATGTAAATCAAGTATTAATAAACCAAATAGCAAAAATGGAAGAAACCATACAAGTGCTCCATACAGAAGTAAAAGAGAATAAAGAAACTTGTACAAACTGCAATCGGAAAGGACATGTAGCTAAAAATTGCTATGCAAAAAGTATTAGATCTAATGATGCACCACAGTCACCTTGTCCTAATTGCGGAAGGAAGGGACATTGGGCAAGAGATTGCCTCACT